GGTAACCCAAAATGGAGTACGGTAGGATCAGAATATCATCATGCCAAGTTAAAGCAAATAGACTTAAGCAAAGATCTTTAACATAATAACAGTATAGACTTCAGAGTTATCCCTTAAAAGGGTTAAAATACAAGTCACATAGTCTCTGAATATGTACTGCAAAGAAGAATTGGAAAACAAACAGAACCCTCTAAGATGAAAAGGAGGTAATATTTTATTAGAAGTGGAAGAAAAATGTCCCCCTCTTCCCCACAGTTTTGTGCTAATTCCTATAATTGTGCATCTCTTAGCTTTCCTAGAGACCTCAAACCATCATTTATCATCCCTTTCTATCTTCAAGTTCCCATTCTACTGAACTTTTTCTACACAAAGTATTAAAAAAATTGTTTCACCCATATTAAGCCTTTCTCCTAAGCCCCCCTCCCTTTATCCTCTGTTTCTTTTGACAGCCAAGCATTTTCTAGAGCTGTGGTCCCCAAGCCCTGGGCCCCAAACCAGTACCCGTCTGTGGCCTGTTAGGAACCGGGCCACAGAGCAGGTGGTGAGTGGTGCATATGAGCAAGTGAAGCTTCATCAGTATTTACAGCCGCTCCCCACTGCTTGCATCACCACATAAGCTCCATCTCCTGTCAGATCAGCGTCAGCCTTAGATTCTCATAGGCGCTCCAACTCCACTGTAAACTGCGCATGCGAGGGATCTAGGTTGCAGCTCCTTATGAGAATCTAATGCCTGGTGATCTGAGGTGGTGCTGAGGTGGTGATGCTAGCGCTCGAGAACGGCTGCAAATACAGATTATCATTAGCAGAGAGGTTTATCCCCCACCGCCCCCCGGTCATGGAAAAATTGTCTCCCATGAAACTGGTCCCTGGTGCCAAAAAGGTTGGGGACCACTGTGCCAGAGAGCTTTACTTGGCTTTCACTTCTTTGCTTCCTATTCATTCTCTACTCACTGCCACCAGGCTCCCCACTCCCCACCACCCTCACTAGTTCTGAGAGTTCAGCCTCCTTTCCCATGATAACAGAAGTCTTTCCCCTCATGACAGCAGTCAAGCCAACTTTATGTCTCAAATGCATCACCTTCGCTTCTTTCTGCCTTATTTCAATCCTTCTTCATTTCTCAATCGAGTTATTGAAATGCGCTCAAAACTCACCTCCCTTTTATATCAAACAGCTCTAATGAATCTTCCAGGCTGATGTCTACATCTTTCTGAAATGAAAATTTAGTCCTGTCACTGCTCTGTTCAAAAGTCAGCCCAAGCTGGGCATGGTGGCTCACGTCTGTAATCCTAACACTTTGGGAGGCCGAGGTGGGAGATTGCTTGAGGCCAGGAGTTTAAGATCAGCCTGGTCAACATAGCAAGACCCTGTCTCTACAAAACATAGAAAAAATTAGCTAGATGTGGTAGTGAGTGTTTGTAGTCCCAGCTACGTGGGAGGCTGAGGTGGGAGGATCACTTGAGCCCAGGAGTTTGAGTCTGCAGTGAGCTGTGATCAGGCCACTGCGCTCTAGCCTAAGCAACAGAGACAACCCTTTCTCAAAACAACAAAAAATCAGCCCAGTAAAATCCAAGTGCCTTAGCACTGTGCACTTAAATGACCCAGCTGATCCCTCTTCTGTAGCCTCATCACCAGAGACTCCTCTTTGTGCTCTATTATCCAGCCACATTGAACCACACATACTTCCCCAAAGGTGCTAGGTTATTGTTCCCTTTGCCCTATAAATCCGCTCTTTCTAGTCTCCCTCTTCCCTTTGCCTCATCAAATCTCTCCTGTTCCTAGCTCAAAATTCAATTCATGTCAAATCCTCTAGCACCTTACTACTCAAGGTCCCCAGGCCAGCACTAACTAACTGCGTCACCTGGGAACTTGATAGAAATGCAGAATCTCAAACCCCATCCCAGACCTACGGAGTCATAATCTGCATCTTAATATGATCCCCACGTGATTTGTATGCATAGTCAAATTTGAGGATACTGCTCTCAAATTCCATGTGAGTGAGTGGATGAGGGAAAGAATGTGTCAATCACTGAGATTGATGTTCATTTATTGGAATGAATGGGAGCAATGAGAATGTTTGCCATCCAAGAAATGAAACAGACATTGATGATGTCAAAAGTGTCTGTCAGGGTTGGGCACGGTGGCTCATGCCTGTAACCCCAGCATTTTGGGAGGCCGAGGCTGGAGGATCACATGAAGCAAGGAGTTTGAGACTAGATTGAGCAATATAGCTAGACCCCATCTCTACAAAAATAATAAAAATTAAAAAAAATGTCTTTCATGCGCAAAAATTTTATAGCGCTTAGGAAGCTGTTACTTATGTAGAGAAAAAAATGACCAAAAATCAAGAAGGGAAAATAACAAATGGACCAGGATAGAACCTGAGAGACATTTTGTGATTTAAAAAGAGAAACTGGGGAGAATATAGTAGAAGAAACAGTTTAGAAATTTGCCCAGTGGATTTCCAAAAATATCTGTAAGAGCATCGTGGGTAAATGTATACAAGAATGATACATACTGCTAAATATCATAAATTGTACATTTTAGAAACACTGTAATTAATTAAGCTCTAAACTTAACTTTATAAATGGAAAACCAAACTCAAGAGCATGAGTATAAAATATGCCCATTTTCAACCATCTATTTTGATAAGAAAGCATGTGATATTGTCTACAGGGTTATGATTTTAAAAATCTCATTCAAATCCCCTTGTAACATTGACACATTTTCACTTTTGAGAGGCTTTCGGTGCATGGTTCTGATTCTTGCAGCATAGGAATGGAACATGTGCTGGCATCTCAGGCATAGTAATGGTGGCCACGCATTGGTGTCTACGTGTGAGGCACTGTGTTGGAGGCTGCTCACATGTGGCATTCATTATTTGCTTTTGAATGTCTAAGAGTACTTGCTTCGATTTATTTTCCCTGAAAAGGATTTATATAAAAGGGAGGGAGGTTGAGTACTTATTGAACTATCCAAAAGAGCTCTGCAGGATGGTACAAAAAATGGACTTGGAGAACAAGTATCTAATGTGTTAAATATCTCCAGAAATTTAGGAGAAAGCCTGGTCGAAAGAAAGACTATTTTGAATAATACAGTATTTTGTTTATTTCTGGAAGGGACAGGGTATGACTGAGTGATCAACCCCCCTCACCACTGACGAGTTAAACTGACCTCAGGTGCCTCCTGATGGGATGCACTGAGATGCATTTATCTGGGATTCCTGCCTCAAACTCATAACCTGAATCTACTTGTGAAGAAACCTCCAACAAGCCCATAGAGAGATATTCTATAGAACTGGCCTGTACTTTTCAAAAAAATATATCAGTGTTATAAAAGACCCAAACTGAGGGACTCTTCCAAACTGAAGGAGACTAAAGAGTCAGGATAAATAATGTCATACATGGTCCTAGATTGAATCCTAGGTATCAGGGAAAAATACAAAGATGATTTAATAAAATTTGATTATGAACTTTAGATAATAATAATGTATCAATGTTAAATTTCCTGAATCTTATCAATTGTACTGTGGTTATGTGAGACAATAGCCTTGTTCTTAGGAAATACACCCTGAAATATTTAGGAGTAAAGGGGCTAAGCTGGGTGTGATGGCGCATCCCTGTACTCCCAGCCACTTGGGAGGCTGAGACAGGAGGATCTCTTGAGCCCAGGAGTGAGCTACAATCACAGCACTGCTCTCCAGCCTGGGTAACAGAGTGAGACCCTATCTCTAAAAAGAGTACGGGAGGAGCGAGGGGAAACATGTCTGCAACTAGCCATCAAATGGTGAGAGAGAGACAGAGAACATTAAAGCAAGTAAAATTAACAACAGATGGATCTGGGTGAAGAGTGTATGAGGAGTTCTGTGTACTGTTATTGCAACTTGCTCTGCAAATTTGAAATCAAAATAAAATGTCTTTTACCAGATTTTTTTTAATGCACAAAAATATTTCAATTGGATTTAGTGAATGATAGAAGTAGGTATTTGGGATAATTTAATTCGTGAAAACTCTAATCCTACACAAAATTAGTTCAGTGATGTAAAGTAACTAATCCAAGCCCTTCTCCGCACACACTGCAATAAAACATTTCATTTGGATCTATCCCAAAATTCAGACCACCCAGAATTTTAGCACTTGAACTGTTCTCTTTTTAAACACAAAGAATACCTAAGGTCAGGACCTACCAAGGAGGACAACTATGGCTCCTTCAGAGAATGTTTCAAATAGACATAATTAATTGCTGATGAATCAGCTCTCTGGGGACAGAGGGTAAGTAATATTCTAGTGAGTTGGCAAGATTCTGCAATGGAGCAAGACGACTCCCTGTAGGGAACAGAAGTCTCTGGATCCAAGCTATTCTATTCACTTTTCTACCACGGGAATTTGCTGTCAAATTGAATAGTGAAATACTGGATGACTACAAAGTGCATTGCGCTGTGGCATTATGCACAAGGCTGTTATAGGAGAGTGGATTGTACACAGACCTCAGAAAATAGCTATTGAACATATACTTACACTTTTTTACTGTATTCTCATGCTTTTTCTATAAAATATCCAGAACAGATACAAACATCCCCATTTTACTTACAAAAAGCCTGTATACAGAAATTATGCAACTTGCCCAAGATTCACATTCTGACTCTGCTAAATGGTATTTTCTCACTTGTGTGCGGGTTTTAAGGGGTTTGAGATTTACCTCCATTTCACCGAGTGCTTCCTCGGTCAGGAAGTCACGGGAATGGGCATTCTCTCCAGGTTAAACCTTGTGATAAATAAGCAATTCTAAGGATGAAACCACACAACCTCTTGTTTTCTTTAGCTATTAAATGGGAATAATACCCACTCATCCACTGAATTAACATTATTGTGGCAATCCAATATAAATGACAAAATGCTTCGGCAAGTTAAAAGGAGATATACAACAGGTTATTATTAAAAACACTCTAATTTATGTTAAAACAATCGGATTTTTTTCTATGATGATTCAGAAAAGCAAAAAATCATACCTTTTCCTTATTTGGTAGCATTGGCAGCTTAGATGGTTTGCAAGCTCTTGGCGATGGTGACTTACTCTGCCTAACAAGAATGGCCCACTTGGAATTTCTCTGATTGGTTTCCTCATAATCACCCATATGCCAGGCCATAAAACCGCGACTGTATTTTCCTTGCATATCCAGGATATGAGGTTTTGGTTGCCTGAAATAGGAACAAATTGGTTGGTTCTCAGATGGAAAAAAATGTAGCAACAAGGCCACCAATTTTCAGATGCTCGAGATTTCTGTTTCTCTAGTAACCTGAGGTGATTCTAGCCATGTGGCTTGGGAGAGCTGAACACCTAGCCATCAGCCAGCGTTCGGAGAAGTTCCTGGACTCCACCCAGACTACATCACCGGCTGCTGGAAATGCCAGAAACTACCTGCAGGACGGACACTCGTCTAGGAACCTCGTCCATGAATGCACTCCTGTGTCGTCACTGACCCTTTACGCCTTTTCAGAGCCAAGCAGGGAAGATGCTGTGAAGCTGAAGGTCACATGTTAAGGCTGAGACCTCTTGAGACCCCTGTGTTCTCCTGAAGGACATGGCCCGTCCTTTTTGAGGTCTCCTGAGCATTCAAGAAAACACCGGCTTTTAGATTCCTAACGCTGGCTTTGGCCATCATTTTAGAGGAAAGATCTAGGCTCATCCTCTTTCCTCGGTGACATCCTTGGGTAGGTTTCAACAACCGTAAATGAAAACATTATCTCAGCCCTGCCTTTCCATCATGAAGGCAGGGGGTGGCAAGGTGTGGATTTACCGCCCCATTTGGAAGGCTGCCGTTGCTCAGAGTCTCCCGGCGCTTCTTATGCATCATCCCGCAACCTGGGCTACCAGAGCCCCTTGGCGGCTACAAAGTTCCCTTTCTAGAATCTGAGTGTTGTGGATTCTCAAGTTCTCTGGACCAAGATTTGTGGCAGTTCTGCCTCTCTCTTCACTCATTTAAGAACACACGAGCACTTACTAGATGCCGAGCTCAGTGCGAGGCGCTGGGGAGACAGCAGCAGTAAGACACAGTCCCTGTCATCGTGGAGCTTATACGCCAGTGGGGGAGACAGATGAGTAAGTGAAACATTGGGAGGTACTATGAAGAAAAATAAAGACATAAGGAATAGCAAATCTGGGGCACGCTATTTTTGTGAGGATAGGCAGGAGAGGAAGAGGTGATGTTTGAGCAGAGAGCTAAATGAAACGAGAGCGAGCGATCCTCCCAGCACACAGGGGTCAGACACGCCCTTCCCATTCACAGAAATCACAATCCCTGTGGTGGGAGGAAAGTGGTCAGGGCTTTCTGCAGCAAACCCTCCGCTGACATCCCATAGCCCTAGAATAAAGTCCCAACTCCGCAGCATAGCATACAAGGGTGTTTGTTGTTGCTGGTTGTTTTTGGTCTGTTTTCTTTTTTTAAATGGTGATGAGCCCTTTTGGTCCACTCTCCTCCACCTATCCCTACTCTCAGACACATTCACAGTCCCTCCTTGTGCTCTCACTTCCCCCATGAACTCTGGAGAAGCCACACTTTCAGACCTGCAGCCTTTGGCTTCAGTGTTTCCTTCTGCTTGGAATTCCCTATCCTCCTTTCCTGGAAAACTGCAACTAAGGTAGGGCCTGAAACGTCACCTTTTCCATGAAGACTTTCCTTATTCCTGACAGATAGCAATTTTTCTCCTTCAATAGCACTTAATATTTGACTTCTTTTGTAGACACTATTTTTTTGGAGATGGGGTCTCACTATGTTGCCCAGGCTGGTCTCTAACTCCTGGGCTCATGCAATCCTCCTGCCTCAGCCTCCTGAGTAGCTGGGACTACAGCCGGGCTAATTTTTCTATTTTTCGTAGAGATGGGGTCTCTCTCTGTTGCTCAGGCTGGTCTTGAACTCCTGGCCTCAAGTGATCTTCCCACCTCAGCCTCCCAAAGTGTTAGGATTCTAGCCACGAGCCATTGTGCCCAGCCAAGTTCAAGAAACTTTAAAGGGCAGGAAGCTGATGATTAGAATACAGGAAACAGATATTGCTTACAGTTTATATTAGCTTCATTAATGATGCATAGGAAAACCATTTCATGCAAATGTGTCACCTTTTCTTTATAATAATGCATACAAGTAATAGAATGATTTAGAAAAGAAAAATCCTTGCACATATTTTAGTCTTTCGTTAAGGGCTAAAATATTTTGTAATCTTCTACTTTAAATTCAGAATGTCCTATGTCCCTGAATCTTGAATCACCAGGAGCAATGGAAAGTTAAAAATTAGTTGTGATTCAAAGATTTTAAAGGTCTTAGAGAAATACTGGCCACATCAATCATGGGGATATACCCATTGCTATGTTGAACTTACAAATGAACCCCAAAGTCTAAAGAGATAAACCAAGGAACAGAAGGTCCAACTGCAGACCGTGCATGAATGCTGGGCCCCCAGTCATGATTGGGTGTTGGGGCACACGTGCCCCCCACAATGAACACCAAACATTCTTAATGCAACACTCTTACTACTTGATTATTACATTAAGTAGACCCCTAAGGGTCAGATACTTATTTGAAACAATCTCAAGCTTATAGAAAAGTTGGAAGCAGAGTTCAAAAGCTTCTTTTCCTGAACCATTTGAAAGTACACTGCTGACAGGATACCTATTATCCCCAAATACTTCAGTGTGTAATTCCTACAAACAAGGACACTTTACATAACCTAAACATAACCATCAAAATCAGAGAAAATCAGAAAATTAACATTTTTATATTACTACCAGCTAATCCTCAGACATCATTCAAGTTTAGCCAATTGTCCCAATAACGTCCATTTTGCAGAAGGATCTAGTTCGGAGTCTCATATTACATTTTGTATTCACATCTCCTCCTGTCTGGAACAGTTTCTCGTCTTCCTATGGCCTTCACACACCTTGACACTTTTGAAGAATGCAGGCCAGTTATTTTGTATAAGTCCCTCGATTTGGGTTTATCTTATGTTTCTTCTTGATCAGATTTGGGTTATGCATCTTTGGCAGGAATAACACCAAATGACCATACTTTTGACTTTCCCCATTACTGATGAGGTTCACTTAGGTCACTTGCTTAACATGGTATCTACCAGGGTTCTCCTTTGTAAAATTACTTTTGCCCTGTTATTAGTAATTTGTGGGAAAATACCTTAAAATGATGCAAAATTCTCATCCCATATCAAATGTTTTATTTATTTATGTTTGTTTAAATTAATAAATTTATTTCTCTATGGACTCATGGTTTCCTATTTTTATCCAGTGGGTAATAAATCTGTCACTAACGCTATTCATTCTGCTGCTCAGGTTGTCCCAGATTTGGCTAGTAGGAGCCCTTTCAATCTGGCTTCTGTGTCCTTGTGACTATATCCTTGTCATTCTTTGAGCATTTCATTTGCTTTTTTTTTTTGGTACAAAAAATGTCCCGGGTTCATCTTTTCCTGACCCAGCCCTGGAATAATCCATTTTGCGAACAACTCTAGTCCCTTTTAGTGGAGAATGATATTTAGAAACCAAGATCTGGGTTCTAAGCATTTGTATTGCTATAGGGGTGACACTGCTCCTGAGCCATAGTTTCCTTTCTTTCCATATTTATAAATTTCTTCTATTACACTGATAAACCTGGCTCCCCTCCCTATATATATACATATATATACACACATATATACACACGTATTTACACACACATATATATATATACCCACGCACACTTATTTGATCAGTCTCCCTCCCTGTCTATAACCAATCTCCCGGTACCACTACCATCCCTTCTGCCTTGTGCATACCCTCCTTACACCACTTGGAATGGGACGCCCTCATCCAGGATACTCCCTAGCAGACACCCTTCTCACCTGCTCTGGACCACCACAGCTTGCCAACTCCCCACTCCAGAGCCACCACACCACCAGCAATTTTTTTTTTTTTAATTTTTTGTAGAGATCAAATCTCACCATGTTGTCTAGAATGGTCTCTAACTCCTGGCCTCAAACAATCCTCCTGCCTTTGCCTTCCAAAGTGCTGGGATTACAGGCATGAGCCACCATGTCCAGCCTGCTCATTTATTTATAATTGTTATGTTTTGACCAGTCTGAACAAGAGCGAAACCCTGTCTCTGCAAAAGATAGAAAAATTAGCCAGGCATTGTGGTGTGCACTCTGTGCCCCTGCAAAAAAAAGTTATGTCCTCTTGGTGGACTGACCATTTTATCACTACAAAATGTCCTACATCTCTAGCAAAAATTTTTCCCTCAAAGTCTAAATTTTCTGATATTAGAATAACCATTCCAACTCTCTTAGATTACCACATGATATATCTTTTTTTTTTTTTTTTGGAAACAGAGTCTCACCCAGTCACCCCAGGTAGAATGCAGCAGCATCATCATAGCTCACTACAGCCTCAAACTCCTTGGCTAAAGTGATCCTCCTGTCTCAGCCTCCTGAGTAGTTGGGACTACAGGCACGTGCCATGAAGCCTGGCTAATTTTTCTATTTTTAGTACAGACAGGGTCTTGCTCTAGCTCAGGCTGCCACAAATTTCTGAGCTCAAGTGATCTTCCCACCTCAACCTCCCAGAGTGCTAGAATTACAGGCATGAGCCACCATGCCTGGCCTATCTTTATATGTGTCTTTCAATTTAAAGTTTATCTTTTATAGACAGCATATAGTTGGATCATAGTTTTTTTGTTTATTTTTCGTTTTGCTCAATCTCTGCCTTTTGATTGGAGTGTTTCATCCATTTATATTTAATGTAATTATTGATAAGGTAGGATTTATGTCTGTTATTTTGCTATTTTTTTCTATATGTCTTACATCTTTGTTTCTCTATTTCTTCATTACTGCTTTCTTTTGTGGTAAATAGATATTTCCTAGTATACTATTTTAACTCCCTTGTTTTGTCTTTTACTATATGTTTTTGAATTATTTTCTTAGTGGTTTGCCTGGGAATTATTAAGATCTTAAAATAATCTGGTTTGGATTAATACCAACTTAATTTCCATAATATAAAAAACTTTGCTTCAATGTTATTCCATTTCCTCCTTCCTCCTTTGTGCTATTATTTTTATATAAACTACATTTTTCTAAATTATAAGCCTATCAATAGTTTTATAATTATGGTTTCATGTAGTTATCTTTTAAATTATATGAAAGAAGTTATAAATGAAAAATATATT